AGAGAAAGAGAGATAGACAAACAGACAGGGAGAGAAAGAGAGAGACACACACAGAGACAGACAGACAGAAAGAGAGAGAGAGAGAGAGACAGACAGACAGAGACAGAGACAGAGACAGAGAGAAAGAGAGAGAGACAGAGAGAAAGAGAGATAGACAAACAGGGAGAGAAAGAGAAAGAGAGGGAGAAAGAAAGAGAGAGACAGAGAAGAGACAGATTGATTTCTGGAAGATCTCTTCAGATTAGAAAGTTAAGGAACTAACTCCTACGTCTAAAGCCATGAACACAATTGGTGTTAGGTTCTTCCCATTGCACGATCATTTTAGAATATCGCCTAGTAAGGGATATACAGGAAGTCCTCGAGCACAATTGAGCTCAACATTTCTGTTGCTCAGTGGGACCTTTGTTAAGCAAGTTTTGCCCCCATTTTGACAACCTTTCTTGCCACAGAGTCGCTAAGTGAATCATGACAGCTGTTCAGTTAGTAACCCAGCTGTTAAGTGAATCTGGCTTCCCCATTGACTTTGCTTGTCAGAAGGTCACAAAGGAGGATCGCATGAACCTGGGACACTACAACGGTCATAAACATGAGTCAGTTGCCAAGCATCTGAATTTTGATCACGTGACCGCGGGGGATGGTGTAATGGTCATGTACCCTATGACTATGATTAAGTGTTGTACCTTATGATTCTTGACTCTTGATGAACATATCTTTTGTTTTATGTACACTGAGAGCATCTCCACCAAGACAAATTCCTGTGTGTCCAATCACACTTGTCCAATAAAGAATTCTATTCTACAATTGTGATGAACTTTTTTTTCACTTTTTTTTAAGCACTGTTGTTCTTCTTATGCGAGAACCATTTTCCCATCTAGTTGGTGTCTTTCTATCCTAAGGAGTCAGGCATGGTACATTCTTACCTGTTTCCCCCCCAAAAAAACCCACCTGTTTTTTGGCTGAGTTGGTACAGGAAACACTTCCGCAGATCGGCATTGTCCCTGAAAGTCAGCTGCAAAAGAGAGCCAGATTTCTTCAGCTTTTGCATCAGCCACAAACCTAGGGAGAGGGGGATAAAAAGAGAGTTGATCTGCAAGAAGAACAACTACAGAAGAATGATTAAGTCTGTCATCTCTACCTCTATAACTGTCTGGTTTGGTCCTGCAACCCAACAGGACAGACAGAGACTTCAGAGAGTAATTAGGATGGCAGAAAAAACAATTACTACCAACCTGCCTTCCATCGAGGTCCTGTATACTGCACGAGTCAAAAAGAGGGCTGTGAAAATATTCACAGACCCCTCACGTCCCGGACATAAACTGTTTCAACTCCTACCCTCAAAATGACACTATAGAGCACTGACACCAGAACAACTAGACACAAGGACAGTTTTTCCCCCGAACACCATCACTCTGCTAAACAAATGATTCCCTCAACACTGTCAAGCTATTTACTAAGTCTGCATTACTATTACTATTAATCCTCCCATCTTCCTTTCACCCATCCCCTCCCACTTATGTCTGTATGACTGTAACTTTGTTGCTTGTATCCTAACGATTTTTATTGACTGTTTCCTAGTATGCTTATTGCTTATTGTACCCTATGACTATTATTGAGTGTTGTACCTTATGATTCTTGACTCTTGATGAATGTATCTTTTCTTTTATGTACACCGAGAGCATTTGCATCAAGACAAATTTGTTGTGTGTCCAATCTCACTTGGCCAACAAAGAATTCTATTCTATTCTATTCTATTCTATTCTATTCTATTCTATTCTATTCTATTCTATTCTATTCTATTC